AGCAAAACTCCCTCTCACAACTTACCAACCGCGTTCCCGAAATCTGCATAAATTTTGTTCACTATGCGTCTAAAACCAATGGTAACTTGGTTAAACGGGGAACGAACGATCGGAAAAAAAATTCCCGCTTCAAATGTGACACCCCCCCCAATCAGCGACCCGAAATGATTCCCCTTTGATGATTCTGGTTGCTAAAAGGGATAGAGTCATTGGTATTGGTGATTCTCCAAAGTACGACTTGTCCCGATTCTGACATTGAATCTTGGAATTGAATAAGCATTCTTGTCTTTTTTTTGAAAGAAAACCAACTTGTGGGTGAATTGTTGCATCATCTCCAATATTTCTGCGCAGAGTTTCTTATTACCAGTTCGCTTTGCATTCACGCCGTTTACCCAGTTTCAGCCCCTCTGGGTACCTTTGAAGCTCCATCCCACCCTTCACACAATCTGCCTTCGCTCGAGCTTCCGCACAATTAGAAGTGAGCTCCAACTAAAGTTCCGTCACCGATGGTCACTTCAACATGTACCAGCCGTAGGACCTTTGGCGACCGCCACTTACTTTTTAGAAGTTAGGCCAAAATTTGAACTTGGACAGAAATTCACTCCTGGGGTAGTTTCGAGCTCGTGGACACGAGTATGGCACACGGAAACGTGGGAAGAGCGCACCACAAGCCCTGACATGCCCAAGCCTTCTTCTAGACTTTTAGTTCAGCTAAGAACAGTCGGAAATCTTATGTGCAGGCAACTAAAGGCGAACACTAGCCTCTTTTTGGGGAGTCTTTGGAAAAAGCAGAACTTGTGGTCTAGCGTGGTATCTTTTTTACGATTCTTGTTTGAGAGAGAAGGCTCCCTCATAGCATGAGCGCGCTTTCATGCCACAAAGTAAGACAAATCCACAACTCCGTTCGGAGAAATCAGACTCTGAAGGGGGATTTGAGATCAGCGTCTGAAAATGCGTCTGATGAAGGGTCCTGTCACCAATGGTCTACGTTCCGCGATAACCCCATTGGGGGAAACGTAACCGTTGCACATCCCTCATTATTGCGTCCTATTGTTCCTGCCTTCCTCTTGGGCGAGCAGATGCGCGCCCATGAGGAAAGCTTAGCGTTCATGAGTCTCTGCCCAACCCGTCATCGAGGAATGAACGTTGGAATTACCGCAGAAATAATGCTCACCTGATTTACAAGAAATGCTGATAGTACCGTCCAGGCCTCGGCGGTGATCGGACAGACATCATTGGGGCCGTGATCTGAATGGCGAGTAAATTTAGATGTGACCGCGAGAAATGAAAGTTGAAGGCAGTCGGGGAACGCTTACGTTCAGCCTTACTGTCCCATATAAGAGAATAAAGATGACCTAGACAGTCGCTATGTTCTCGCATTGAATCCATACACGATAGACTACCCCTCGAGTGTATTCGATGTTTTGGCGTCGAGAACGAGGAGAATGACGCCGATACAGGCAACTGAAATGAGATCTGCTGAATAAACAATGTTTATGAACGAATACAAAGCGCAAAAGGTCGACAGAAGGGGTACGGGTCAGGGGATCCGAGGTGTGGTGACACGCGGAAAGCGGTGCAGAGAGCGCGGCCATTTCCTAGCCAGTTGACTCGACTTCCCATTTCGCTACACACAGAAATAATTAGTTCGGTCTAGTCAGGTGGCCACGTCAGTCAAATGCACTGCCGCATCCATTCCTCGTAATCGTGGCCATCTCTGAGCCTGTCAGCTCGAAATTAGGAACTGCGTCAGGACATCGGTTACCTGGGGTAAACGGGTCAACTTTTTTCGCCTACTGATAAAACCCGGAAATGACTGCTAATCCCCAACAATCGGCAAAGCATGTCTTTAACCACAATAAGTTGAAACTTCCTCCCCTTAGACGACCCCATGCACGAGGAACATTCTTTTCCCCGACCTATTGCTGTGGACATATAGCAATCCATCAAGGAAAAATTGTTAACGCTTCCCTGCTATGACCATTGCGTGTCCAATCCCCACTCCCTTCTAGGCCTCACAAATTTTCCTCAGCGAACTAACTTCATAAAGTGGTGGGGGCGCTTTCCCGCCGCAGTCTTTCTGGTCTTGCAGAAAACACCGGAAATTTCGCCATTTCCCCCAAATCTAATAAAGAGTTCAGCGAGGCTGATTACCTCCCTCCTCCCCTACGATTTTTCGGCGTTCGCGCTAGCAGAAGGACTCAATAAAAATGAATTAACGATACAGAACATAGGAGGTCATAATTCGAGCGACATACAGCCGTCTTCGCCTTTAGATACTGGGGCGTGCATAGGCTGGTCCTGCCGGAGCCAGCCCGAATCCCACCCAAATGTTGTCGCTGTGCCCCACTTCAGCGATTGTGGAGAGCACTGGCGCAAGGTCAAGCTCAGCCCCCTTTGCACGCCATTGTGTCAGTAAAGCCGACTATGTTATACACACTAATGGATACATCGACGACCGAGTTCGTTTTCACGCAATGATTAAGCTAGCACCACATAGTTTGGGAAGTGGGGGGGCACGGCGCGCAACGCGCGGACTGTGCAACTATCTTCTGCTTTGCGGCCTTCTGCGTTCTGCTACGCTTAACCATGGAGATGGACATAGAGACGCTGCCACTTACCCTTCCTCCCACCCCGCCCCTCAACTACTTTGCCACGTCATGTCTAGCAGCCCAGGCTGAGTTTTTTTCCCTCACTCGATTTGTCGAAGGAAATAGCCACAATTCTATCAAGGGAAAAAAGAAAGTTAAGAGGGTGCACGCAGATAAATGATCATACCACGTCACGTCTGCTCATCTGCGTCCTCCCACCCAAATGAGATGTCCCGTTGGCCTTCAAGTTTGCGTGCTAGGCACATTTCCTTCCGGGGAATGTTAGTAAAAAAATAGGCGTAATTTTCTTATGCCCAACACTCTGCGTAGATTCCTTCCTATTTCGTCGCAGAATGGCAGGCGCGAACACGCTTGATGTGGCATTACAGTGGTAGCACATGCCCCTCCATTTCGCCACAGGATACCAAAGAAGCTTTGCGTTCTTGAACTCATTTACAATAATCGGTGACATACCTGTTCCTCTTCCGCAGGTGACTTGTCAGCATCTGCCAACGACTTCAATGATTTGTCCTTCTCGCTGGAGTTTATGCTCTGCTTCCGGCTTGGAGCTTTCTAAAATACCGGATTTCAGTCTATCTACTCGGGTTTCTTGATCTATGGAGCATACAGAATACAACATAAAAGGAATTGTCAAATAAATGTAGAAAATATACTATGACAGTTTTATAAGAGAAGCAAAATGTCTGTAGAGGGCCAGGGTGTGCTCAATGTGGACGGGGTTCGCGCTTAAAATTTCAAAATGGCGAAGTAAAATACGAGCGGTGGAAGAGGTGGTAGTTCGAAATCTCCCCTGCTAACTAACCAGCGTTTTGCAGCAGATGGACGAAGAAGCAAACCAGCCCCCAAAGTGCAAGTAGCCGGCTAAATGAACCGTGATTTAGTTAGCGAAGCTCGGCAAGTTGCGTCCGTTGAGTTCCTCAGTTCATTCAGAGAATAAGAGAAAAGCTGTAGATAATGGGACGAACTTCTACTCCTTGATGATCGCCTTCCTGTAGTTGAGTGGCCGTCTGATTGAGTGCGTTTGCTAATCGTTCAAAGTAGACAGCTGATACCCGCTTTGGATAGGTGGCATAGGAGGCACCGAAGTCTCGCAAGACATCATAAGAAGTGGAGGGCTCGCGTAGACGTCTCATGGCTTCGGACATAGCCGTCACAAATCTCTGAAAAATCGTATTTGATTAGAATATCGTGGGAATATGGTAGGATTCACATCAGAACAAAGCGTACTTTGGACCGGATCTGGGACGGGCCACGCTTTCTGCATTTTTTTGGTTTGTTTGAAGCTAAGGGAAGCTTTTTCTGGCCATCAAAGATCCACGGTAATGGAAAGTCCCCAGGGTCAAATAGAACTCCGATAGGTGCAACAGTGGTGCTACTTGCAGGAATTCCAAGCTGCACCAACATGGGATAACAGTATTTCGGCGCAGTTTGCTGACGAGGGGGGGGGGCATATAGTACGCATGAAACAGGAAAATCACCAAAAGTCAACCACCACTCCTACAACGCCAAAACGTAAACCCCCCCCCCTTTACAACGTCCGTGAAGCGAGAAAAATCAACTATCAAAATAAATTTTTCCCAGCCCAAATACGACCCCCCCCCTATTGAGGATTCCCCAACAACGATGTGCCCGGTTCAAAAAGTTTTGGGAAAAGGAGGTTATCAAGCAATGGTGAAACGGCCATTATACCAT